TCAGTATAAAGCAACTTGTAGAGGCGATCATCTGACAACTATCGAGGCGCGGCGGCATTTACACATGTGTTGTCGAATATTCCAGCCTTATCAATAGTCTTTGTGCCAGCTCTGGAATAATGTTAATTGTTCGTGTTTAGTGGTCAATTTTAACATAACGATCTACATTGATCGAGAACGTTCTCGAACACTGATGCGCAGTTTGCGCAAGGTATTTCTGACCCGGCTTTGGGAGTGAAAACTGAATCAAACATAAGTGAAAATAAGAAACGCGCGTGGCAATACGAAGCAGCTGGTGTGATAAGTCGGTGTTACAAATCAAGCTGATTGGCTCTTGCGGTAAAAACGGAAGATTTCTTATCAAAATATATCCATACACCAGTGTAGCTTTGAAATACCTGCCGAGAAAAGGTGGCATAAATTGTTATGTGGGGTTTAACGTTTCAAAACCACCATATGATTATGATAGACGCCGTAGTAGAGGGCTCCGGAAATTTTGACTACCTGGGTTTCTTGAACGTGCATCCAAATCTGAGCACACAGGCCTACAACATTTCCGCCTCCATCGGAAATGCAGCCGCCGCAGCCGTGATGCGATCCCGCAACCTGCGGCTCAGCAGCCGAGTACCTTAGCCACTAGACCACCGCGGCGGGGCGAAAAGGTGGCATAGTCGTTAACATAGGAGGGTTGACATGCATAGGTTGTCACTTTATTATCTGGTTTTCAAAGCTATGTTACGAATGTCCTTCAGTACTACAAAGTTTTCTGCGTATCTTTATTCACGATAAAAATACCACCTCTTAGGTAATGCTTTCTCAAAAAGGGAACCTTTAAGGGTTAAATTGACCAGAACTGTAACTACTTCCGTGTCTGATGGCATTAATTCTATGAACGTTTCAGCTCAGTTGCAAATATGCTTCAAATAATGAACAATGATATACAGAGTTGTACATCTAGAAGCAGACAAAAGGTGGTGTAAGTACTGGTTTGAAAGTTGGGCTCTATTACTTTATTTGAGGCAGTGTTTTGTTTGAAATAGCATGTAGGTAAAATAATTTTTGCCCCCCCCCCCCTAAACGAAGCTTGATATTCGCGCCATTTCTCGGTGAGGACGGACTTACAGTGCATTGTATTTTGCTTCGCCTACACTGAACTTACAACACTGCAACGTTTAAACTCGTTTTAAGATCTGGCATTGTCATATTGAATGTTTTACCCTGCAAATGATAGTAAAACAAGCTATCATGATAATTGTCACAGTAAATAAATTAGGCCTTAAAATTGGAATTTTCCCCGCTCATACATCTTTAAGTTCCTTTATTTCAGACCTAACGAAAAGTCATGGTCTGCACAAGCCCAAGCTTATAAGCCACACGGTGACTGGTATGTTTGATAATCTACCTCATATATCAAAACTATCTTGTTCGATCATCCAGTCGATAGAAGATCGCCAGCGTTGCTCTAGGGACCACACTTGGCTAACAGCGATCACCAAAGCACTTCGCCTGTTTTACAAGCGATTCAGTGAATGATATACGCTGACGTATTATATGAATAAGCAACGACACGCATGGCGTGGAATCGGCCGTCTCACTGAATTCATTTAAATGGAATTTAACGAAACAGACGTCCCAGAGCAGCGTGATCTATTTCAACTGCTTTTGCTAATACACCACTGCTGCGAGATATTCGCGACACACTGCCGCTATTATTTCAAGCGGTAGGTTTTTGGTCCTGAAAGCCGGAGAAGCTATAAATGCCTCATGTTTTAAGTTTGCTTGCTTTACAGCTTGCGCAATTATGTACGCACTGCAATTTCCTGCCATGGACCATCAAGAAGAGTGGACCTGAGCGCTCGAATGGAGGTAGGGATTCGTCAGGTAACCTCCACACGTGCCGCCTGGAAAATTCAATGTCAACATCTCGCAGAGGTGGCCACCTCGCCACGGTGGTCCAGTGGCTACGGTACTCGGCATCTGACCCGCAGGTAGTGGAATCGAATCCCGGCTGCGGCGGCTGCATTTCCGATGAAGGCGGAATTGTTGTAGGCCCTCGTGTGCTCAGATTTGGGTGCACGTTATAAAGAACCCCAGGTGGTCGAACTTTCCGGAGCCCTCCACTACAGGCGTCTTTCATTATCATGTGGTGGTTTTGGGAGGTTAACCCCATATATCAACATCGTAGAGGTGGCTAGCCCAATGCTTGCCCTATAGGGTGCAGCCTTCAGATGATGATCACGAATTTCAGATAAAACATATTGTCTGCATTTTTATCGAGCGCTACGAGAGTTTACTGATCTTGGGAAAGGTGCAGCTATAGACTGTGGACAGAATAGCCGGTACTTATGCACCTTTTCGCAGTACGAAGCAAGGAAAGTATACAAAAAAAGAAACTTTAAGGGGCAGCAGCAAATTCTTTCATGATCTAGTAGGGGTATATCCCGAATGACCAAAATAACCTCGAATTTGTATTAGATAGCCATAGAATGCTGTGAACATCTAACAGACATTTGCTGATTCAGAATGAATATATGTGTGCCATCTATGACCGTTATTTATCAATAGGCTCTGTTGTAGTTATTCTGTGTCTTGATAGGGGAATCATCGCTTCATTTATTTTTCTTGAAATGATAAGTAGGACTCAGTTTCGACTTCAGTACAGTTGAATATTTGGGCTAGGATGACTGAATGATGATTTATTTCGGCAACTTGAGTCACATCCCGTAATCTTATCAGTCATAAGGCTACTTATGTCTCTTCTGAGTTGTTATGGCAGAGTTATCTACAAAACTCTCTACTCATCTACAAAACGAAGGCTTTCTCAATTTGACAATAAAAGTGCCAAGTAGTGAGAAATACGCTTGAGTGGCCGGAGGGCCCATTTGTGTTATTTAAGTCACTCAAGCTATGGCATACACTTCCAAAACAGAATCGAGAAAGTGAATGAATAACATTAGTTAAAAGTGGCCTTATTACGCAAAGTAAGGCACCTGGGGTATTACTCGCGGTTTTTAACTTTGACGTGGGCAAGTTGCGGGATCGAATACCAACCTCTGTGACTGCGTTTCTGGTGCAGGCGCAATTATTTGAGGTTCTTATTCGGCTGTACATTGATTGCTCAACGCGAGCGCATTAACCGACCTTGGTGTTTGGTCGTGATTTCTTCAGGTGGATCTGGCATAAAACACGCTCGCTGGAAATAAAGTAATGCTCAAATAGAGCAGTGCCTCTCCTCCTCAGATGATGATGATGATGATGCGGAGAAGCTACCTTACAAGTGCCATTCCGACCGGACGCGTGGAACTGGTATGAAGCGCGTGCGGTCATTAGACTTTCAAATTAGCGGACGCTCGGAATTTTTGTCTGCACTGCGCACAGCGGCCAATTCACATTAGGGAGCGTGTAAGAAAAGCAACAGAGAGAATGCTTTAAGAGCTGTCGAGTAGACTAGCGTGGCGAAGAAATATTAGGTTTAGGGGCACGTTATTAGGTTTAGGTGCACGTTATCAGGTTTAGGCGCACGTTAAGAACCACTAGTGGTCCATATTTCCACAGCTGTCCTCGCGGAATTTCTCATATGCATATGGTTGTTCTGAGTTGTAAGACCTAAAAAAGTAATACTATTAACTCTGATGCAGTGTAAATTTATTTTTAAATGTGATTAACACCTTTATAAACTTATTTGACTGGTGGCGCTGCTATAATACACTTGTCTTCCAAGCTAATGCTTGTTCCTTTGAATATTTTCTATGACGGAATAACCTCTTTCACAAACTCGTGCTATTTGATCAGCATTTACCGACACCGAAAGTTACTAAAAGAAATGAGCCACTGGTTTGACAAAAAATTGCCCAATCGTTAAGTCGTGAGTAGCCAAACTCACCAGCGCTTCGCAAACGTGTCTCGCATCCCCACTTACTCGATGCCTCTGGTACACGTGTCTGAAAGAACAAAAGCTAAAGAGCAACCCTGCCTCTCTTTGTTTCTCCGTGTACGTCACCAGCTGGCAGACTCGTGTGATCCCCTTTCACCAATTATAAGAAAAGTGTCGTCGACGCTTTACAGAGCCCGTCTCCTTATTCCCGTCTCGTATGGACCTGCATGCCTCGAGCTCGATAGTGATCGCCAGGGAACCAGTCGAATACCAAAAGGCTGTACGCGGACAATCAATTAATATTTCTTCGCCACGCTAGTCTACTCGACGGCTTTCAAAGCGTTCTCTGTGTTGCTTTTCTTCCACGCTCGCTAACGTGAATTGGCCGCTGTGCGCAGTGCAGACAAAAATCTCGAGCGTCTGGTAATTTGAAAGTCTAATGACCGCACGCACTTCATACCAGTTCCACGCGTCTGGTCAGAATGGCACTTGTATGGTGGCTTCTTCGCATCATCATCATCATCACCTGAGGAGGAGAGGCACTGCTCTATTTGAGCATTACTTTATTGTCAGCGAGCGTGTTTTATGCCAGATCCACATGAAGAAATCACGCCAACACCAAGGTCGGTTAATGCGCTCGCGTTGAGCAATCAATATACGGCCGAGTAAGGAATTTGGCCCCAATCGTTCAAGGATGTGGCGAGGAAGTGAGCGTCCGTGTATATAGTAGAAGCAAGAAAAAGCTAAACAATCCTTTCATTTTTAAACATTCTTCCATGCTCAGCTTATTTAATTGAGCTTGTGTCCCGACGATGCACCTCTCGCACTTTCTCAGTCTCTCTCTCTCTCTCCGAGGGAAGTGTCTAGGCTTGCATTGGCCGTATTTCTGGCTGTCCACGAGATGCTAGTGGGACGACCGGCGAGGTGCGAATGAAGACTGCGTGTGACTTGGCTGTCTTGTGAATGAACGGCGCCACTCAGCGGTCGCTCGTTTCCAGGGAATTTGACCACGAGCGAATCGCCATAAACAAAGGATGCTTCTGAAGGTGGGTACCCGTGGTCTACGCCTAACAGTGTCCAAACTTTGTAAATGCCCTAAATGGAGCTTGAAAATAGCGCCTCCACAAGTAGGTCCTTGCGATATGTGCAGTGTCAGCTGTGCTGGTTCAGGGTCACCTCGTGAGGAGAGCAGCCGATGACACTGTAAGTTCACAGTTTTTTCTCACGCATAGATCGATGCAATTTAGGTGAGTTTGGGCAGACTAGATAATTCTTCGAATAAGAATGTCAAATATATTGAGGTGAATGAATGATGTTGTCCTTAGTTTGTTTTGACAAACCGTCTTCTATTTACGTGGGGATCAGCTAAAAAAAAACAGAGAATAAAGACAATGGTTGATCAATTGAAAGCAGACAAGGGAAGGTGCACTTTTGTGCCTGAAAATTATTGTAAACAGAGACAACAGCGACATAACTTTTGCTCATTAAAGAAACAGTCACACCGAAATCATGATACGAAAGTTACCCATATTTAAACTACAGCGCAACTGTCACATCACGTTATAGCTGTCATGAAATGCCTCGATGAAGATTTTCTGAACTACACCGGCTATTACACCTTTATACAGGGGAGAATCAAAACCATGTTGTCAAATAATTTAGCAAAGCAGCTGCATAAGTCATAGATCACCGTACAAAGCGAACAGAATATATAACTTTATCATGAATACGTATGTCACATATTAAAAAAAAGAAAGTTTTATAAGAATTGCAAATGTTTTTACAGGCTTCGAATAAAGCTAGTGACATACTATTTGCTTCAGAAGTTAGGATATTTATACTTGAAGCGCGATAAACATCACATAAAGAAATTATAAGTGTGACGCCATATTCAAACTCTCAATACGCATACGCAATCATCCTGAATCCGTTAATGGGCAGTTTAAAAGTTCTTCACGAAGAAAATACGACTTGGCTTGGTGGATCGTTGCACAGCAAAAATGCCATTTTCACATATTTGACGGACGTGTTACTCTGGCTAAAATCTATGAAAAACGATGGCTAAGACGTACTTCACAAGAATTATTAGAAGCCTTAATTTTTTTTTGGCGTCTCTCATAATCATATAGTGGTTTTGGGACGTTAAGCCCCACATATCAATCAATCAATCAAGCCTTAAATTTAGGCAAGAGAAAATTTTGAGTGCTATAGTTAAATAAGGGCTTGTTTTCTTAAAGTTTAATGATGTGATGCTAAATAACATAGCTGCGAAGCTTACTCTTGCGCTACTCCACGGGCTACTGTGGTATGAGTACCCTTAAGACATCATTACTGTATGGCTAGTTCATCATTCTGTACGGCATGCAGGGGCTGTAGCAGTGCGCTGTTGCTATCAGGCACAGTATGAACAAACAAAAATAGTATGAAATTTTTATAAATGCCGAATTAGCTAATGTACATACAGGGGATTAATAAAGGGACCCAGAAACGCTTTTTTGAAGTTTTGTAAGCACTTAAGCTAGAGCATCACCAAATCATTTGCACCACTAGTTTAATTACACGCCGTGTGCCGAGGCGGCTACAAACAATTATATCATACCTTCCTTCTAACCTCTGCCTGGCCTCCTCAACTAATGAGGCATGCTGGCGATCACCGAGCTCTCGTGAGCGTGCTCGACGATTTGAGCTTTTACCATTCTAGACCTCCGAGATGACACGCCAACATGTTGTGCACAGTTTCGGAGGCCATCACATGGTGAGCCTGGCACCACGCAAGCAGTCTAGCAAAAGAGAAGAAGATCGCGGAGGGGTTCATATATGCTCTGACAGGTGGCGCCACCTTACCAGTCGATCAAACCTTTGTAGCACTTAGTGCATTGTATGCTTTTTCGGGGGTTAGTCATCAGGTATTTACTTGTTTGTGTGTGTGTTTTGTTTGTTTCTGTTTTCTTCTCTTGCGACCCCATGAGGGAGGTGCACGTACACCGAACACGCAAATTTTTGTAGCAGAGCTGACTCTCTTTTTTTTCGTAGGGCAAGATTCATCGTACGCCATGTTATCTAATTATGAAGTGGGACAATTCATAAGGACAATTGATGTAAAAAACATGATTAAAGAAGCTGTAAAATGTTCAGGATGCGGGGTGGGTTTGAAAGTGAACGCAAGTGCAGATGCGAATGGAGAGGAGGCTTACGCCAAGTGTAGACAATGTGAGTTCGAGGAAAAAAATGGAAAAAGTGATGGTTGCCCAGAGTTAAGTGCTGATGAGAATCCCAGAGCTAGAGACTGGGTTGGGGACAGAGCAAGAAAAAACGAGGGATATGGGAGAAAAGCTCAAGTCCGCCGAAGAGGCACTAGTGAAGGTCAGTAAAGGAGCGGCCGACGGAGAGAACGGTAGAGCACCTGCAACCAGAAAAATAGAGAAAAAAAGCTAGCAAGTACGGAAAAAAACAGGTTCAGCTGGTTCAACTGTCACAAGATCCAGCTTCAGCGAAGTAGTGGTAGGGTTGGGAGGGGACAAAGCAGCCGTTGTCACAGGTACAAGTTACTGCAAAGAGTGGTTGTTGACGCAAACCAAGAAATATGGCAGATGAGTCGAGAGAAAGGCTTTGAGGGGGTGGAAATAAACAGAGAGGTGCATAGGTGGGGTTGTTTTTCATGAGACGGAATTCACTTCGATTGGCGGCTAGGTCATGAGGTGGGTTGGTGACTTGCAGGATGCACAGTAGCTTTTTTGGGGCGCACTTAGGCCCTTCTGGGTCCAGGATAGCTAGTAAAGAGGAAAACAACCAAGGGGACTCTTTGACAGACGGTATAGACCGATACGATTCCGAAGTGGCACCAATATCTAAGACACGTACAGTCTGGGGCAGAAATCGACTTAGCGATTCGGGCCGAGCCAATTCAGACGTAGGGTATATTAACATGAAGGGTGGGAGGAACAGGTCGAAGTGGGAATAGATAGAGGAACAGTGAAGGGAAGAGAGGTCGATGGAATATGGTTTTGTAGAAACACATCTTAGGGACATGGAACAGCCACGTAGCAATCCGGACTACGAATAGAATAATCTAATAGAACAGAAGGCAGCAGAAAGGGGGGTGGTATTGGTGTATTGATTCATTAAAGTACCGACCGGCAAAGGGTCAAGCAGGAGTGCAAGGAAGAATTATGGCTAAAAGGGAAAGTGGCAGGGCAAATGACGCTCCTGAGTTTTGTATACTCTTGAACAGGAGCAAAAGCCAGAGAGGAAAACCAACAAATGGTACAGTGCATATAAAATGACATTGACGAACTAGGAGAACAGTGCGTGGTAATTATATTAGGAGATGGGAATGCGCACATGGAGGATATGGATGGATATACTGACCCACCAGGCAGAATGCTAATAAATATGTGGGAAAGGCATGATTAAATCACCAAGAAAGCACCAAGAAATGCGATTGGCAGATAACATGGGAGGTGGGAAGGCTGCAGTCGACGATAGATAATGCAATGATGTCACGTAAGATGTATGATTGGCTAAGAGTGATCAACATAGATGAATATGAGTCCGGAAGCTTAGGTAGTGATCAAAGACGTATAAAGCTGAGTTTTGCAAGAGAAATAAAAATTGGAAAGGTGGCATTACGAGAGACCACACGGTAATATTTATACAGAAAGGCTAATAGAAATAGCAACTAAAGATATTGAAAAAATAGTGTGAAAAACAGAATGAACGTACACAAATCTAACTTGATCGTTTGAGTTAGAGCTTGCTAAGGTACGAGTCAAATCAACCGGGAAAAGCAGACACAAACCCAAGAGCTGGTGGAATGAGGAAGGTAAGAGAGCCCCAGTGAGACGTCAGGAAGCCTTCAGGGAACACATGTTTGCTAAACAGGGGGGTGAACCAGAAGATGGTGTCAAAAAAAAGGATATCTTGTTGAGCTGCAGAAGGAAAGCGTCCGATTTGATCAGTGACAAGATTAGAAGAAAGAGGCCCAGTGGATGGCGGAAGTAAACAAAAAGGATAGAAAGACAGCTGCAAAGGTTTGGAGCCATCTCACTTATCTGAGTATTAAGACAGGCATAAAGCAGAGGTTTATAACTACAGTTCAAGGGGTTAGACTAGAAGGGGATGAGGCAATAGAATATATAAAAACAATGATGACAGAAAAATTTAAACAGCAAGAAAACGCTGCATGCACTGTCCAATTAGCTCAGTAGCTCCACTGGGACAACGAAAGTGGGAAAGGGTAGAGAAGAGGGTTTCTAATGGCACATCAACAGGCTCTGATGGCATCCCAATCATTCTAATAAATAAACTAGGACCAAACTCTAAGCAAACAATAAGAGAGGCAGTGAACAAAGCAATAATGGATGGTGATCTACCAATGGGTGGAAACTAAGCAGGATGAGCATGATCTATAAAAGAAAGGGGGATAAAGCCGATGTAAACAACTATCGGCCTATAACACTGACATCCGTAGTTTACGAGCTGGCGATGCAGATAGTAAAGAGAAGACTACAGACATGGGTGGAGAATGAGGGGGTGCCAGGAGAACTACAAAATGGGTTCCGTAAACGATGGATGTTGGAGAACAATCTGTTTCATGAATGCAGTGTGATGAAATAGCGGGAAAAGAATGCTGGCCCCTGTGGCTGGCATTTCTAGATATCAAGGGTGCTTACGATAGTGTGATTCAAGAAGACTTGTGGGGAATACTGGAAACACTAGTTGTGGAAGATGGAATAACTAATCTTCTAAAGGATATCTATAAAGTAACAAGGCAGTTTTCAAAGGGGAAGTACAGGTATCTGAATCTACAGAGATACAACGCGGGCTTCGACAGGGATGTCCCTTGTCACCTTTGTTATTTATGCTGTATCTCCAGAGACAAGGTACCAAATTAGAGGGGAGTCGACTCGGCTTCAGCCTCTCTTTTTCCAAGCAAGGAAAATAGATTTGACAGTGATTACCAGCACTGATGTATGCAGATGATATAGCATTAATAGCCGATAACAAGGAAGGTATGCAGGGATGAATAGGTAATTGTGGTAATGAGGTAGATAGGTTAAATTTGAAGTTTAGCAGGAAAACATTGGCAATCTCAATTTTTAATAATAACAAAGGGAGTGAGCATAATATACAGGAAGTAACGCTAGAAATAGTGGTTAAATACATATATTAGGGCGTATGGATAGATAACGGGGCTGATATCTAAGGGAGCACAAAAGATACGTAATAACTACGGGCACCAGGAATGCAGCTGTAAGGAAAAATAGGGCACTGTGGAACTACAATAGGCATGTCGTTGTGAGAGGGATTCGGAAAGGTGTCATGTTCCCGGGTTTACATTCGGCAATGAGGTCTTCTGCATGACGTCAGAAGTTGAAGCAAGATTGTAAATTAAACAACGTGACATAGGTAGACTTGTTTTGGGAGCACATGGGAATACTCCAAATTAGAGGGTACAGAGGGTACAGGGCGACATGGGATGGACATCGTTTGAGTGCAGGGAAGCCAGCAGCAAGATAGACTTTGAGGAGCGATTGAGAAAAATGGGAGAGGAGCGTTGGGCTAGGAAAGTTTTCAGCTACCTGTACATGAAGAATTTTGATACTAAATGGAGAAAGCGAACTCGAAAACCGTCAAGCAACGATTCAGACAACAGCAGAATACCAAGCCAAAAGGAAACATCGGTTAAGAAGAAGGTGAAGGAAACATAGAAGGACATGTGGAATATAGAAATGCTTATGAAATAATCGCTGGAGACCTACCGAACTTTCAAGCAGGAAATTGCAAGAGAAAAGATGTACGATCATTGTCGGGGTAGTTCTCTGCTCTTTGAGGCTAGAACGTGGGTATTGAGGACCAAGACGTACCGAGCAAAATACAAAGGCACAGACACGGTATTGAGTGCGTGTGGAGAGGAGGAGAAAAGAGCTTAACATTTGATAATGTCCTGTGGAGGGTTCCGCCCTGTAGTCGCAGATAACGGCACCGAATTTTTCAAAGTATTGGGGTTTGGGTACAGTGAAGGCAAAATAGACTTTAAAAGGGTAGAAATAACCAGGAGGAGGCTAACTGATTGGTGGCTACAATGGAGGCGCGAGTGAAATTCAATCCTTAAATACACAGTTATAGTACTTAACTTTATGGCTAGGTTGCGTGAGCCACCACCCGATCTAAAGAGCACAGCCGGATCCATCCATCCATCCATCCATCCATCCATCCATCCATCCATCCATCCATCCATCCATCCATCCATCCATCCATCCATCCATCCACCCACCCATCCATCCATCCATCCACCCATCCATCCATCCATCCATCCATCCGTCCGTCCATCCATCCATCCATCCATCCATCCATCCATCCATCCATCCATCCATCCATCCATCCATCCATCCATCCATCCATCCATCCGTCCATCCACCCATCCATCCATCCATCCATCCATCCATCCATCCATCCATCCATCCATCCATCCATCCATCCATCCATCCATCCATCCATCCATCCATCGATCCATCCACCCACCTGACTTTCGCGCATTCTACAGCACATGACAGCCAATCAGATAAGCAACCACATCACCGTGGCTGCTGACGCGATTTGGCCTCGTCATGTGGCCCGAGCATGTCGATCTGTGAATGGGTGGCTTAAAACGCGTTTGGCTGAGTTGTACCTACCTGCGCAAATCTTCAGCGATTTGCAGTTCCGGAGTGCTATAATAAATTACACAGTTCAAGCAGAGAGCTCAAATTGGTCTCTAAACAACCGTTGAGAATGGGTCTATAAGCCCAATGTCTTTGTACATCACCAATTGCGTTGTACATCGCCCATTGCGTTGCAAGGTCTCTTTAATGTTCTTGGTGTGTGTACGTCAGGGATAGCTGCGTTCAGTTCTTTCATAGCAAAAGAGTGCTCTGAATCCTTTAATTGGTTTATATGAATAGACAAAATTTTGGAAAGGCCCTCTACTACTCTTAATTACTTTAGATATGCTTGCTGCTTTCTCGTAGTGGGATACAAATTACTCTACATCCCCTTCTTTGCAAACAGTTACACCGCAATTAAATAAAGGAATTTAAAGCTCGCCATCAGACTTGCCTTATGCGTTGAAGAATAGGGAGGAGGAGGAAAGAAACAAGAGGAAGAACAGGCAGTGGGTTAAAGAACAAAGTGATCTTCTCTAAAAGAGCACATTCAGTGATAGCCATATTTCATATTGACTTCTTCTTGTCGGCTACCTTTTCAAGTAAAAGCTTCACTGAAATACTCACTTACAGTCTGGTTTATCATTGAGTATTTTTGTTCATAGTGTTTGTGACTAAGGTTGTTATATGAGGAATGTATCATAAACTGTGTGCTATGTATTGCAAATGTTGTTGCTGTGGCACGGTGGCGAAGCAGGCACACTTCAACGTGGTAGCATAAGCAACGTACCGGCATTTGCACGTCGTGATTATGTTAGCTAAAGCCACGATAATAAACAACACTTACGAATGATGCCTATTTTAGGATGGTTTTGGAGATCTTATCTCCCGAATAGTTGGTTGTAATAGCTTGGTGGTTTTACATATGCTTTTATTCTGCTCACAAAGGATCCAAACCTTCCGTACTCTGTCAACTACGACCACACGGATGAACATGGTACGCGAATCTACAGCCTTGAGATCACGGACGCCGACAACGTTCGTATGGGCAGGTACGGCTACATGGACGCGAAGGGCCTGTACCGCCATGTTCACTACCTGGCAGACACTACAGGCTTCCATGTGTTCGTGTGCACCAACGAACCTGGCACCGAGACCTCCCACCCCGGCGATGCCGTCATTCACATGCATCACTGGGAGAAGGTAGACCCAGACTCGACTCTAGGAAGGTTGCTCGCCAAGCTACCGCAAATCACTTCACTTACGACTAGTGGCAACGGCAAGAAAAAAAGGGCGCCGCAGCAAAATAACAGATGCAAATCTGGATATAGGGACAATTGCAGAGCGTAAATTAACGCCACGAATGTGACCTCGGAGCTTCAAAAAACCACATAGCTATTGATGTCTGTTGCATAATCATGTGGTGGGCATTCCCATTCTACTCCGACTGAGGTTACACATCTCGTGATGCCATAAGTGCCGCAACTCTGGTTTACACACCCTATAACTTGTAGAGGAATATTAGTAGGGCTGTCTATATATAGCGTTTCTGAACATCGTTGCGTGATGTACAACCTCTGCTTTAGTACAAATGCTTGCGATAACGAATAGCTGGGCAAGTTGGTGAAGCAGTGCTTGACAGCCAATACTAAAGGAAAGAAAACACACATGAGCAATGACACATGGCACATATTTTTTTACTTCTCATTTCTCCGCATTCGTTGTCTAGCGCTGCCTAACGATAATTAATAACCCAAATTGTTTTGCCTTCAAAGGGAAAGAATAAATGATTCAATAAATTTTAATGATTGGATACACTTCTTTATTGTTAACTAGAAAACAAGAAAAATCTGCAAGTTTCCCTTGAATATAATGAAGAAAAAGTAAGAACATTACTTGTATATAAAAATGTTTTCTTTATAACTTTCACAAGATGTTTAGCGGCTTCCCTGCTTTTTATCTGCCTTATTCACAAAATGATGATTATGAGCAGCAAATTTAATAAATATGTAAAATTACTAGTGGTTATTTAGTGAGATAAGCTGGATGAACAGTGGAAGTGCCTCTCACAGGCTGGTAGACGGTTCGATAGGATGACCTATCTTTGTTATAGCGCCTTGTCATCCTTGAAGTGTTAACATTCAGGTGGTTAATACTGACGTCATATTCTGTGGTGGCGCTTGTCCCCATTAGTATTCAATATTCGTAGTTATAAAATTATTCAAGAATGCTATAACCATTCTGAAGTCCTAAAGCTCTTATTATCAAAGCAACCTAACTTGTCAGGAAGCAAAGAATACACTCATCTGCTCCATACATTTTTTTCTTTCGTGAATGTGATTACCAACAGGCACAAGTGCCACCACAGGAGATAACGTCAATACTAAACCCCTCAAAACTAACACACCAAGGATGACAAGGCACCTATGGCAAAGATAGGTCCTCATATCGAAATGTTGGCTAGCCTGTCTGAAGCACTTCCACTGTTCACCCTGATTATTCCACTACGTGTTTGCATCTGTCGACGGGCATCTTGGTTTTATTTGCTAACTTAAAACATACAGAGTGCTTCATTTTATGTCTTTCAGCGTGCCAAGGCTTTGTATGCAATATTTATAAAAATCATTTAGTTCAAATGTCCAGGGTGCTGTATCTTGCAATTTTCCATGTTCGGTTACTGTTGTTCACGCTGCATCATTCAGTGCTGAAATCAGGAATGAAAAAAAAAACAATAAATATTTCATTGATAGGTCGACTATGCATAGGATTTGTCATGTGAATGCTCTTGTGCAATAGGAAAAGAAAACTTGATTGTACAGTGAGTGTGGAAGCACCCTGTGTATCGCGAGCGTCGTTCCTAATGAAATTGGGTCTGAAATTGCTCTTGCATACATAACAGCATATCGATCTCGTTGTTAATCTCTTGTTTAGTAGAGTCAGTATTATGAGATTTTAACTTCATATGAACGACTCTGACCGCTAACGCTAATGTGGCAATAAATCATTGCAATACGCGTTTTATAGTACATGTAAAACGCGTTATCAATTTTCTTGTGATAGCAGAAAAGATATCAGTGTTTTTGGCCCAGCAAACCTCTTAATTGTGCACGTGACCTTATTTTTTATTTTTCATTTCAAATGGCATTGGGCTTACCATATTTTAAAAGTATTGTTTGCAGTGAGCATGTAGTGGTACCTATGTCTGCAATATTAGAAAGTGCTTAACATTTGGGAAACAGTTTGAGCAACTTTTTTCACCCTGCACTCAGTGTCACGCCTATTGAAGTGTCATTGTTAGAAAGTTTCTGCTCCGTACGTGAGTACTGGCATGGCCGCTGGATAAAATTTGCGGCCTGTTGCGTGCCGCCAAAATGGCGGGATGCGCCTCGTTCACCTCGCGCCCGCTCTAACGCCACCAATCCTCCCAGGAGAAACGCTTTCCCGCGCATTTCTACGCGGAACAGTTGGTTGTAAATAACGCATTTTGTAGCGGCACATCACAGATTCAATTCAGAATATTTTTAGGAGTACCTGTTACACTACATATGTGAACAGTTTGTCCTAGGAGGTCCAATAATTCGCAGAATATAGGTCTCAATACTCTCCATGATTGCTGCCCGTTTGGCTCACCTGAAATGAAAAGGGTCCCAGATTCCGTTCATGGGGAGGCAATCGCCGGGCAGATTCTACTGGCTGATGTATGAGCTCACCAAAACGCAAAAGCAGACACAACTTAAATGTATGCTCTTTCAGTGCAAAAAAAGCCGGTTGGGGTCCAGAGACCGAATTAAAAATATGAGAGACCCTCAAGCTTCGCCTTCAAACGCGATAGCGAAATAAGGCCCCTAGTTCACCCTTCAACCGTTAAGTGCATACTTATTCATATGTTGTGTTTCATACACACGCACGCACAAAAGCACGCACACAGTAGACTGCACCAGCGCGCGCTACTATCACCGAATGAGCTCGTTCTCGTCGTGACACCTGTCGAAAAAAATGCGTTGAAGGACCCCGAAACACCTTTTTAAGTGACCATGTAATGCATTCACCAGAAGAGCTTATTGCCTCAAGAATGCAACACCGCAAAATTTTAAGAATTCGCACAGTGCGAGTGGAGTTAGAAAGGTTTGTCGCATGCTGCTATTGCATTATCTCTTCTCGCGACCCAACGAAAGCACTGGAAGCTAAGCAGGAAGGGGTTGCAGGGCAAAGAAACTACCGCGCCTCGTGAACTTGATCCCTTTTTTTTTCTTCAAATGCGCGGCTTTCCCAGTGTGATCGCGCCTGCACGCGTGGAGAAGTAGCGGTCTCTCGCGGCTATCCCGGTTACTTGAGTGTTCGGTCACAGACGCAAAGGTGATTTTTCGCCTACAGCCAACGGGGCCGACGCCGATGGTGGTTTTTCTGCGACACGACCTCTTTAACGCTATCGCGTTAAAACCAAGAGTTTACGACACAAACAAAATATGAATTCTCAGTAAAGACATCACACAAACTTGCACACTTGACAGGGGTCAATTACAATTCATAAAATCACTTAGAAGGTATTTGAAACAAAGGGAACAAACTTACCGTGCTACAAATGCAATATAATGCATCCAAAACTACACAAGAACACTTAGTGGCCCCAAATATTCACCGCACTCGTGTACTCCCCAACTATTCAAACGTGTTCCGAATATTTTTCTTCAAGGAAACACTAAAACGAACTCCAGTGCTGGTCGTCGTCCCGGCGAAACTATTCGACAAAGTACTGGAGTGGCGTCATAACTCGATTCTTCAACACCGACTGACTGCACAAGACGACTCACTCACACCACTCAAACATCACAATTTGTTTGCCGGCATTCACCACGCGTGCTACCCTCAGATACCTCTTGTTTGGATCCGTTCGGCTTCGCGAACTTTTCAACTAATTGTGCTGCGCGTAGCACATACCAGGGCAGCAACCAAGAGAAAGCGTTTTGTTTCTCCAGTTTGTCTGCGAATAACGTCGTCCCCAAAGAGGCCCTGCTTCGATGTCTAGATTTCTCCTAAACTTTTCTCGTTAGCTGTCTCGTGTGTAGGAGTAAGGGCATGGCCTGGGCGCCTTGTGATGTTCGTTGTCTTGCTTCATTGCACGCGTCCGTGAAATGACTGTTTGGCAGGGTGATTTGATGCTGTCATCTGGAGATGGCAACGCCCGTCTGCTTTAGCGCTCGTTTGTGACATAAATGAGTGCACCATTACGAATAATACGCATCCTGATACGCTTCTTGAAACTGTATATCGAAGGGGAATACGTTGTGCTTCAATGCAGCGTCTTTTGTTTCGCGATCGAGCTGTTTAGCGGTGCACAACAGCTTCGTGGCGTCACACCACTACAGAACCATCTGCCACACACGCGCGCAAAAAAGAATCATACTCAATCACAGGACACGTTAGGAAAACAGCCCCCTCTTCTCCTCGCACACACACACGATCTCACGCAAAAAAGCACGAGAACGCACACGAAAAATCACATGGACACGCACAAATCCTCACGCAACCACATTGAAACACGATGGGTCATCCGCTCACATGGGTGGAGTGTCAGCGCCCGCCCCAAAAAAGTGGCCGATACTGTCAACTCCCATTGACGGCCACGCGACGCAGCGTGCCGCACCTTGTTATTTATTCAGCAGTTATGTTTTTTATCCATCAGCCGCGGTACTGGCAGGATGCAGGGGCTACATAACTTCCTCTTGAGAATTAGTAGCATGATTTGAGAATGCTTGCCGAAGGTGATCCAACCCGTCCTTATTCTAGCTAGTTCACTCTCATGGTTCGGCTCCACTGTTACTACCTGTCCTAAGTATACTTATTCCTTTACAACTACGAGCGTCTCTCCACCTATCACAAAAAGCTGTTTTTTGCCAAAAGGGCTGCACATTACTGTAGTTTTGTGCATATTTAGTTTCATACCTACTTATCGGCTTCATAAGCTGAAATCACGAGCTGTAATTCATCCGCTGAGTCACTCATCAAAGCAATGTCATCAGCGAATGGCCAGTTACTAAGATTATCTTCATTAACTCTTATTCCTATCTTTTTCTCATCTAGGGTCTTGAAAACCTCCTTTCAAGACGTGGTGAATAACAATGGAGGGATCGCGTTTCCCTGCCTTACACTCTTCTTTATTGGGATACTGGAGAACTATGATAGCTGTGGATACACTGTACATATCTTCCCGTATGTTTATGTAGGGTTCTTCGATTTTCTGATTACGTAGTGCCTTCATATTGCCGATGTTTGGACTGAGTCAAACTCCTTCTGGTAATCTATGAAAGCTATGTGTAGGAATTAGTTGTATTGTGCGCATTTCTTGATTACCTGGTTGATAGTAAGATAATGGTCTATTATGGAGTAGCCTGTACAAAATCCTGCTTGCTCATTTCCTCAATTGAACTGCAATGTCACCCTAATTCTATAGCTATCATTTTTGTAAATATTTTTAGACAACCAACAATAAGCTGATCGGCCTGTAATATTTCAAGTTATTGACGTCTCATTTTTGATGAATTAAGATGATGTTCACATTCCTCCAAGATTTTAGTACCCTTCCCATCAACTGGTATATAAAATTGCCAATTTTTCTGACACAATCTTTCCGCCAAGTAGCTTTCTTTCTTTGCATTCCTTCTAGGGCGTTCCTTACCTCCCCTGTCGTTACTGGTAGGATGTCGAATTTTACTGAGCTATTATTGTTTTTAACGATATCAACCAGGTTGTTTTCGCTTGTGTACAGATCTCTGTAAAACTCTTTCGACACCTCAACTATCCTATT